TGAGAGAAAGCTTAATGTAGCTTATTAAAGGGGGGGGAAAGGGAGCTCCTGGGTGAAGTTCCTCATTCTGGGGATACAGAATTGGGAAGTCACCCTGCGAACTTATTGGGGAGAGTTTTTATAACAGAGTCTTTAGGGAGGGACATTCCACCCTGATTCATGATCCACTTGCTAGCTCAGACAGGCAAGGGCATTTGCTCTTCTTATCAACAGCAGATAAGGCTGTCAGCATTTGAATTCTGAATTCTTCATTGTTCTCTTTGGCCCCCTTTGTCCAGACTTAACAGGAAGCTCTGGTGGGACAGCCTGTAGGGAGTTGCACTGTGAACCCAAAGTTGTTGGTTCTCTGGTGGGAAGAATCCACTGATAACTCCCCAAGAGAAAGATTGGCCTCCTGAAAACTCGATGGAGGTTGGTTTTGAGTCCATGGCAATGAGTGAGTGAGTGAGCGATGACCTTCTTTTAATTTAACTGATACAATCCACAGAAACCTTATATATAAATAAGGCCATATTCACAAGTACAAGGATTTCAATGGTTCTACAAACCATAACAAACAGACAATAGTAGGAAATTTTCAGTTTTGTTAACTTTAATGAAGACTCATTTTTTTTTCCTCTCAAAAATTAGTCCCCTAAATAAATCTCTTTTATAAATTGTAAAGCAATCATAAATCTGTCTTTCATTTCAAAGAATGTTGGTAACTGAATATTACTTAGAAAACTGCCTCAGGAATTGTTGACAAGGACAAAGAAGGGGCCTGATGCAATGGGAGAAGTCATTCACTGATTCATCATCCTTGTGTTATCATAAAAAACTCTTTACTGCCACTGAAAACATGGTGGGAGGCTCACCTATGGATTGGTTCTGACTTAATGGTATATAACAGCTTCTGAATGTGAGTCAGAGATATATTCAAGGACAAATAATTTAGCAGATCCTGAAATCATTCCTGCTACTTGCTTAGATAGCACAGGATTTATTTAAACGATGAAGCAGTAACTGTAGAGAGGTGCTGTAGCATAGTCCATAGCGTGTTGAGTTACTAACTAAAAGGCTGCACTTCTTTAGTGGTTCAAATCTACCAGCAGCTCCTTGAAAGAATGATGGGCAGTCTGCTCCCTGAAGATCTACAGGCTTACAGGGGGCCCAGGGGGCTTAGTGGTAAGGAATTGCACTGTCAACCCTGGAGCACACAGTTTGAATCCACCAGATACTCTATAGAAAGAAAGTTGGGCAGTCTCCTCCCAAGTGATTTATTTTGTCTGAAAACCTGCTGGAGGGTCAACAAACAGTGGGTGCCCATTCAATGTTACACAACAACAATTAGGGCCACAGTGGGTAAACTCTGGCAGAACAGGAGAAGAATGTGGGCCAGAAACTCAAATTACTGAATATATTAAAAAAAAAAAAAAAGAAAGAAAAAGAGGACTTCTAAAAAAGAAAAAAAAATCACAAGCCCAGAAACCTGATCCAACTCAACTCATTGCAGTCCAGTAGAAATTGGCTCATAGTTGACTCTTCAGTGGATTTTCCGAGTCTACAAATTGTACAGATTGTCTGTTTTTCTTCCATGGAGCAGTTTGTGGATTTGAAGTGCTACTTTTAGGTTCATGGTGCAACTTCCTACCAACTAGGCCACCAGAGCTCCTAATGAAGGACCCTTATACCTCAGATTCCTGCCGCTGGAATCCCTGCTCTGCATTTTAAGAAAATGGTTCTTCTAGCTAGAAAACTTGTGCACAATTACATTCCTTCCTTTGGATTAAACCATTCTCTACATTTTTTTCTAAATGAAACAAGCCTGTCTACCAATATGATAGTTATTTCTGCCAAGATTATATAGTTCAGAAAAATGAATTCATAAAGTTTCCCAGGAAACTAGAATGTTGGCAAGAAATCATTGGGAACAACATGAAAATGCTGGTCGGTGGGTGGAGGTGAAGAGAGAATTTTGTAAACAGAATTTCAATGGGATCAAAGTAATACCCATCATGCAGCAGAGGTTCTGTGAAGGCTGGGGAACATAAGCTACACCAGAGAGAGTGGCTACAGACATGCTAAAGAAAGGAAAAAGCAAAATAGAAAGGAGGTTGGCTGTGCAGAAAAAAAACCCAGCAGCACATAAAGGCTCCAAGATGGAACTGGTGGAGCTAAATAGTAATTAGTGACTGGATCTGTACAAAGATTTAATTAATATTCTCGTGTTACAAAAGAGCACCTGCAAGACATGGCATATTCAACCCCTTAATAAACATGGATTCATGTTGGGCTAGTTAAAAAAAAAATTACTCCTGTGATTTGCTTTCAGGATAAGTTGACAAACAACTGCTTTGCTGTCTTTTGGGAGGTTTTTTTGGCTGAGTTATAGCCCTAGTTTGTTAATCATGTTCATCCTTGCAGATAGTGTCCCTCATTACACAGATTATTATAACTGAATGTTTTTCCACTATGTATTCTGTAAGGCAGCAGATGCAAATTTCATGTCATTGGATATCGCAATATTAACAGCAAAAGATGGCAAATTCCTTTTGTACATGAGGAAATATGCCCTTCTTGACAATTAACCTGTATAGCTATGCAAAAATGAATTGGTCATAAATTTTTGGTTCCAAACTCAGGATGTACTCAAACTAGAAATCATTCTATTTTTATGTACCATTTGGACCATGTTGTAAAGGCATAGAAAGCCCTGCATCCATAATATAAGTAAGAAAATATGATAAATTATTTTAAAAGATCACTTTTGTTATTTATTTTACATTAATTTCTTTGAATATTCAATAGCTTTGATTAATGTATTTTCAGTAAAGTTTAGCACAGCATTTAACTTCAAACAATGAAGAAATGTGAACACCATGAACTCTAACAGAACTAAATATGAAACAATATTTTGAAGACATTTTATCAGATAAAAAATGTGGTCATGGTATAAGAAAAGGTCACAAAAGGGTAAAAGAAAGATAAACCTATGGATTAATCTATCTCCTAGATTATTTTGAGTCTGACACAAATGCATGGTCTGTCTGTAAACAAAACACAAGAGAGACAGATAACAATTAATCATTTAATATTTGTTGTTTACAGTTTGTATTCTGGTTGAGATTTTGTAAAAAATTTCGCAATCACTTTAAATGAACCAGTAAAATTTTTGAGAAAAATGTCTTTGTTTTTATAAAGTGTGATGGATAAAGCAATAGCCTTGCAAAGATATTCATATTCTAATCTATAGTACCTATGGCTGGTTGGTGGAGGTGAAAGGTTTGTCTTATGTGGCAAACATTTTGCAAATGAGAAATTATCCTGAATTATGCAAATAAATCCAACACAATCAAGGATCTTTGTAAGAGAGAGATTGTTGCTAATTGCTTCACACTTGGCTCCAGTTCATGTGGATGCTGTGTACAACAAATTGAAACTCTTCCTAATTTTGTACCATACCCAATCTCTGATATGCTTAATCTCTTTGTTTCGATCACTTTGTCAATCCATTTCATTAAGAATACTCCTCTCTTTCACTGACACTTTACTAAAATGTGCCTGATTCATGGTCTTTTAAATCACTTGCTATGCATCTGAGAGCTGGACAATGAACAAGAATGACAGAAGAGGAATTGATGCCGTCGAGCTGTGGTGGTGGAAGAGTATTGACTATCCCATGGACTGCTAAAAGGACAAACATATATTGGAGAAGGTGCAGCCAAAGTGCTCCATGAAGGCCAAGAGGATGAAGCTTCATCCCACATACTTTGGCATGTTCCTAGAAGAGACTATTCCTGGAGAGGGGTATCATGCTTACAAGGGTGGAAAGTCAGTGAAAGAGAGAAATGTCCTTAACCAGATGGATTGACACAGTGACTGCAAGAATGGACTCAAGTATGTCCGAGTTTGTGAGGATGGCACAGACAGAACAGGGTTCAGTTGCTATGAGTCATACTCTACTTGATAGCACCTAACAACAGCAACAACTGCTTTTCCAAACATGATGTTCTTCTCCAACGACTGGTCCCTCCTTATAACATGCTTGAACTAAGTAGACAGTCTTACCATTCATTCTTGCTTCTAAGAAGCACTCTTGCTGGACTTCTCCCAAGAGAGGTGTGTTTGGGTTTTGGTAGTCCATGGTATACATTCAATATTTTTTTACCAACATCACAGTTCAAAGGCATCAATTCTTGTTAAGTGTTCCTTATTCATTGCCCAATTCTCACAAGCATATGAAAGAATTGAAAATATCATGACACTAGTGTACTTTTTTCTTTAAAGTGACATCCTTACTCTCTAACAATTTTGAGAGGTCCTTGGCAGCATAAAGTGGATTGATTTCTGTTTTTTCACTTGTAATTTGAGTAAAAGTTTACAAAATAGATTTTAATTCAACCATTAACTCACATTTTATTTTATTTCTTACTTCCTCCCTATAATTTAGATTTCCATTAACTCTATATGTCATTGTGTTGTCATTTTTATTAGTGATATATAGTACTGATGACATATTTATTGTATATTGGCTTGTCCTTCACTATATTAACCTGTGTCTATTATCTTTTTTGCAAATTTTTGCACCTTCCCTCTCTTCTGTTTGATTTCTTGTCTGTTGCTTCCATAGGTGTGAGTCCATGTAAAAGGAAATCTTTTATTTCTTCACTCTTTTCTTCATTACTTAATGTTGCTTATTGATCCATTGGTGAAGATACATTTTTCTTGTTTTATTTATGTCAAAATCGGGACAAATATCATGACACGGGCAGGGTCTTGGGATGATGTGCTTTGAAGATGAAGGAAGGGTCACATTTCAAGGGGATAGATAAGAGTAGTCTCTGAAAACTGGCAAAAGTAAAGACACAGATTCTCCTCTGGAATCTCTAGAAGGAATATAGTCCAGCCCATACCTGATTTTTGCTTGCTTCTCAGGAAGAAAGCCTATCTTTTACTGCACAACGAAGAACCTCAAAAACACCTGCTCGGGCAAAGCAGCGGCTTGCTCAGAACCCGGCAAAATGGAGCTCGAGGCCATGAGCAGATACACCAGCCCGGTGAACCCGGCTGTCTTCCCCCATCTGACCGTGGTGCTGTTGGCCATTGGCATGTTCTTCACCGCCTGGTTCTTCGTTTACGAGGTAATCTCTACCAAGTACACACGGGACATCTACAAAGAGCTGCTCATCTCCTTGGTGGCCTCACTCTTCATGGGCTTCGGGGTCCTCTTCCTGCTGCTCTGGGTCGGAATCTATGTATGACTGCCGAGGGTATGCATCTGACAGCTTCACTGAATCCCTGCTTTTGTAAATTAGTATTTTTTACTTTTTTTATTAACTAGTGCTGGAAGCGTCCCACCTTCTGCCCCACAATAAAGACAGGTGTGTGACGGTTAAAAAAAACAAAAACAAAACAAAACAAAAAACAACACACCTGCTCGAGGGTCAGCTATGAGTCCGCTCCTGCTTGCTGAGAATGAGTTTGAATTGAATACTTATCTAGAGGGAGATCTAGTGGTAGTCCATAGGGAGTTACACCTCTGACTCCAAGGCAGCACCTATCTAGTGGTTGAAATCCACCAGCTGCTTCTCTAGGGAAAGATGAGCAATCTTCTTCCCTTCCCTGAGATTTATAACCTTGTAAACTTGATAGTCACCTATGAGTTGGCTGCACCTCAATGACAATGAGTTGGGTTTTTTGCCTAATAAGGTTGGGACTGCTAACAGAGAAGTCAACAATTCTAAACCACCAGCTTCACCTGGGGAGAAAATAGAAAGTCTCTTCCTGTAAAGATTTACAGCCTCAGAAATCCAGGAGACAGTCACCAGGGAGATTACAATGAGAAAGTGAGTTCACTTTTAGACTTAGGGATAAAATAGCAACTTACAGGCAAATTTCCAAGGAAATTAGTCAACTTTCTCATCAAAATTTAAAAGAGGGAAATGATAAAGTTTTAGAAAACATTAAAACAACTACCATGAAGAAAGTGATATGAATATCCATAAACAAAAATGAACTCAGCACAAGGAGTATATTGCTGAACAATACAGTCAGCAATACCACAAAACAGAATTCAGCACAATAGGCTAAGCCAAACAAGTCAGAGAAGGACAATTACTGTAACAGACTACTATTCTAAAAATCTAAGGAAAGTTTACACACAGACAGTATTAACCAGGGTGGAAGATGGTAATAAAAAATTAAAAAACAGGTAAATTGGGTGAAGAGAATTTTACAAAGATGTTATAAATTAGTTACATAAATCTATTGTAATTTCTTGAACCCATTGTAAGATAATTACAATAGTTTCACATAATTAATATATTTATTTCACCCAGTTCATCTTGATCAACATATTATGATGTTCCCTTCACCCTAAGCCAATGGGGTCAGGTATGTCAGAAATTGTGAGGATGGCACAGGACAGGACAGGGTTCAGATCTGCTATTCATAGGACCTTTATGGATCATTCTTAATGGCACCTGACAACAACAGCATTGTCATTTATGTTATAAAATATGTATTAATTTCTAAAAAACTAACTCTGTGCTGCTTCACTTTATGAACCTTCTTAAGCACTATGGTCAGAGCTATTATTACCGAACTATAGTGCTACTTCAAATCCTGTGGCTTCATCTGCATCTACTATCAACACATAGGGGTTTTTTAATTGCTGCACGTGCTTAAATAGTCACTCATTTTGTCAAATTTTCTGATGTTTTAGCTACAATATTGTGATGATTAACAATTGTGAGCCTATATCGTAACTCATCTGATAATGAACTGCTAATGAGAGGAAAAGAAAGAGAGGGGAAAGCTTCTGCTTAGTTACTAATAATACTGCAAGTCAATGGAGGAGGATTTTTACAAAATAATTTTGTTGTTAGTAATTATACAATCTATGAAGTGTTATTGAAACCATTTACAACTATATCATCTTATTCTATTATTTAAGTTGATAATAAACATTAAATATGAACGATACTAAAGAATAGGGAATTATGTAAAGGCATATTTACTCAGGGAGCTCTAGTGGCCTAGTGACAAGAAGCTGCTCTGCAATCCCAAAGGCACATGTTTTGAGGACACCAGCCGCTCCACGGGAGAAGGAGGGGCAATCTTTTCCTGTGTGAACTGCCTCTGAAAACCTGCTCGAGGGTAAGCTATGGGTCGGTTCCAACTCCACAGTACACAATAGCAGCAACAATACTCAGGCATGTATTAACGTCATCCTTTTAGGGAAGCAAGAAAAACCAAACCAAACTAATAAACACAAGACCTCAAGTTGCTTGAGTTCAGCCAGGTTATTTTCGTAGGACCATCTGCTCCACCTTGATTAAAGAATCATTTGAATTTGAATTTTTGTGTGATGAGATGAGATTGGCTAGACCCTTGCTTGATATTCCCATGTACTTAGAAAACTATATGTACTTTAACTTCCGTAAAATTTATTGTGGAAACAACTTCAATAAATTGACTCACTGAAATTTAAATTTAAGCTATTAATCTTGAACTTTCATTCCATATCTTTAGATATTTCCATTTTTTAAGCCACAAAATCCTTCAGAAACAGTAGATGAGTGTGCAAGACATTAGATTGAGTGAAATATCTCAGTCACAAAGGACAAATACAGCATAAGATCATAATTGTAATAATAGGATCAAGATGGGGGTGAAGGAGGGAAAAGCAGGAAAAGAATGGGTAGATAAGGAACGATGCAGTGGAATGAGTGAAAGGAATGCCTACTGAAAGGAATAGATTATTAGAAACCATGTACATGAAAATTAGTAGTCTTACAAAAGGAATTGGGGACAAGGAGGAAAGTGTGCATAAATAAATGAACAATAAAAAAGAACTTTAAATCCACATGGAAAAATCCCACAAAAAATCAGTTTTTAGAAATGTATAATTGTGATAATTTAACATTATGATTAAAAGAATCAATATCATTTAATTATATCAGTGAAAAGCGATAAAATAATAAGAAGTGTGGTCGGTGTTCCTGTCTCACTGTTGCTAATATTCCCTTTCCTTCTGAAATGGATCTATAGTGTGTCCAGGAGTGAACTCAGTGCCTTACTTTTCTTTACAGCTTTGTTCTTCTGTGGTTAAACTCTTCCTTTCTATAAGACTTTTCACTTGTAGGCACCCAGCTGTACTTCCCAGAGTCAGTAGTTGCTGCTTCTCCATGATTCTGCATTTTTGTAAATTCGCTAGCTATTCAGATAGAATGACTGATTTTACACACTCAATAATTTATTCATTAATTTTTTTTAAGAAACATAGATAGTGATTGTACACATGGAGCTTACCTGATGGGCAGCATGGGAATCAGATTGACTACATCTGTGGAAAGAATCGTTAAAGAAGCACATTATCAGCTGTCTAAAAATAGGCCAAGTGGTGACTGTGGAACAGACAATCAATTACTCATATGCAAATTCAAATTGAAGTTGCAGCTAAAATAAGTAAAAAAACCCTAAAAATATGACCTTCAATCTATATCCTGAACTTAAAAATTATCTCAAGACCAGTTTTTATTATTGAATGCTAATTATGAAAGACCAGATGAATTGTGGAATGATGTCAAAGATATCATTCATGAAAAGAGTGAAAGATCATTACAGAGGAGAAAGAAAAGACCAAATGGATGTCAAAGAGACTCTGAAAAAAGGTGCTACAGCCTCAAAAAGCCAAAACAAAGGGACGAGAGGCTGAAGCAAAAGAGATGAACAGAAGATTTTAAAAGGCAGCTCCAATAGACAAAGCAAAGTACTATAATGGAATGTACAAAGAACTGCAATTGGAAAATGAAAAGACTTGTTTTGGCATTTCTGAAGCTGAAAGAGCTAAAACCCAAATTCAAGACTTGAGCTGCAATATGGAGAAATACCATGAGAGAAATCCTGGATGATCCTGGAAACATTAAAAGAAGACAGAGGGTATATACAGAACCACTGTGTCAAAAAGGATGGTTGACACTGAAATATTTCAAGAAGTAGCATACAATAAAGAAGTTTAAGCTGCATTGAAAACATTGGCAAAAAATTAGATGCAAGGAATAGATAGGATACAAATTGGCATGTTTCAATTAACAGATGCAACACTAGCCATGCTCACTAGTCTGTGCCAGGAAATTTGGAAGATAGCTACCTGGTCAACTGACTGGAAGAGATCCCTATTTATTCCATTCCCAAGAAAAAAAGGTCCAACAGAATGTGGAAATTACCCAACAATATCATTACTACCACATCCATGTAAAATATTGCTGAAGATCATCCCAAAATGGCTACAACAGTACATTGAAAGAGAACTGCCAGAAATTAAAGCTGGTTTTAGAAGTGGCCAGTGAATCAGGGATATCATAGTTGATATCAGATGGATCTTGGTTGAAAGCAGATAATACCAGAATAATATCTATTTGCGCTTCACTAACTAGGCAAAGGCATTTGACTGTGTGGCTCACAAGAAGCTATGGCTAACACTGAGAAGAATAGGAGCATCAGAACACGTAGTTGTACTCATGCAAAATCTATACCTAGACCAAGAAGTTGTTGTCTGGACAGAGCAAGGGGAAACTTCATGGTTTAAAATAAAGAAAGGTATGTGTCAGGGCTGTTTCCTTTCTCTGTATCTATTCAGTTTGTATGCTAAGCAAATTAATTTAAAAACTGGACTTTATGAAGAAGAATGTGGCATCAGGATTGGAAGAAAACTCATTAATAACCTATGCTATGCAGACAACACACTTTTGCTTGCTCAAAGTGATGAGAACTTGAAACACTGCTGCAGAAGATCAAGGACTATAGCTTTCAATATGATTACACCTCAACATCAAGAAAACAAAATTCCTCACTGCTGGGCCAATAGGCAAAATCCTGACAGATGAAGAAAAGATTCAATTTGTCAACTATTTCCTCCTACTTGGATCCACAATCAACACTTTCAGTACCAACAATCAGGAAAAGTATTGCTTTTGGGAGAAAATGCTGTCAGAGACCTCTCAAAAGACTTTCATACCAATGATGTCAGTTTAAAGACCAAGGTGTACCTGATTCAAGTCATGATTTTTTTCAATTACAGTGTATGCTTCTGAGACTTGGACAATGAATGAAAATTAATTTAAAGACAGAATAATGGATATCTTTGAATAGTGCTTTGAAGAAGAATACGGAATATCCCACGGACAGCCACAAGCACAAACATGTATGTCTTGGAGAAGGTGCTGCCAGAGTTCTTCTTAGAGGCAAGGATAATGAAGCTTCATCTCACATACTTTGGGCATCTTTCCTTTTTTTATATTTTTTATTATTAATTTCAATGAAAATTTACAGAGACTTTGGATTTCCATTCATTCATTGTTGTACTTTTTCTCCTCACTCAC